AGCAACTAATTAGTGTTAGTAAGAGTGGTTAGATCAGAGTGACAGGGGATTTTCCTGAGCCTAAATCATCTGCCCACCTCCAATCTCTGATCGAATTAATGTTGCATGGGGATTAGTGGTAGTGCTGGTAGTATTATTATTAGTGGTAGTTGTTTTGTTAGTACTACTAGTAGCACCAGTATTCTGAAAATCCACCGACAACAGACAGATCCTACACTTCAACAGCAACCATTCTCTGTCTCACAAACGTAGTTATGTCCGCACTCTATTCCAAAGAGTCGAAACACACTGCAGCACGCCAGAAGATAAAAGGGCCGAACGATTGTACCTTGTGAACCTATTTACAGCCAATGGCTATCCCAGGCATTTCATCGAGAGAAGCAAACGTTGGGCATCCAGACGACAGCCAAATGAACAGCAACCCAAAGTCTGGAGGTCCATTCCTTACGTTAAAGGGGTCTCTGAAGCGGTCTCGCGACTGTTAAAGCCCACCAGAGTAGGCATAGCCCATCGACCACAAGAAACAATTCGACGTCGCCTGATGCAACCTAAGGAGCCATTGCCACCCGCTGAAACCTCAGCAGTCATCTAAAAATAAATTGCAATGAGAGTGACTGCAACTATGTGGGCGAAAGCGGTCGGGAGTTGCAAACTCGCCTACAAGAACACAAATCGGTCACTCGGAGGTTAGACCCTAACTCTCAACTAGCAACACCCGTTGGAGAAACGGGGCATACTTTTGACCTCCAGATGGCTACCATCTTAGGCCGAGGCAACACAAAAACGCAACGGCTAAATCTCGAGGCGTGGTTCTCCGATGCCCACTCTATCAACAGTCATCTGAACCTTCCTGCAGCTTACAAAGTCTTACGTCATCACAATCGGCTACATGGCATGTGCCGAAGCGGGCGTTGGAGTCCACAAGGACAATCAACATGTTCGCCTTCGACACAGTCGCCAAGAGACGTGCAGGTCCTCGTAAAATTTGTCTCTTGCGGCGTCAGCGCTTGTCATCGGCGGAGCGTAGGCACTGATGATGATGGTGACTAATTTACCTTCCTGGAGAGGCAGACAGGTACTCATCAGGCGATAGTTGATGCCATGTGGCAGAAGAGGCAGTTGTCCCACGATGTCGTTCCGGATGACGAAGGCGACACCCGCGTCACGTCGCTCTGTCCTGGGGCGACCAATCCAGAGTAAGGTGTAACCGGCACCCATCTGCCCTATTTGGCCTTGTTCGGTAAACCGGGTCGCACTGAGTGCAGCGATGTCCACCTTGTAGCACGCCAGTTACCGAGCCAATAGCGCTGTCCTTCGTTCCGGTCGGTCGCTCCTCGGATTGTCTAAAAGGGAACGAACATTTCAGGCTGTCAGAGTGAGCGGACTCACCCTGCCAGTCTGGCAGGTGGGACGGCAGTAAGAAGGGGGAGAAGAAGATGTAGAAGAAGAATGCTGAGAAGATGAGGAAGAAGAGGCAGGAGGAAGAGAGAGAGAGTATTTTTTTTGTTGTTTCGATTTTGGTTGTTTCGACCGTGGGTTTAGCGTCTGCGAGCACGGTCAGCCAACAGACGTCATGGTTCCCCAGCAATCGTCGCGGCACCTATTCTAGCCCCTCCCCTTCTGGGCGAGAAGTGTCACCATAAATAGGGCTGCCCGGTTGTGCCGCCGCGGACGAACTCCACTATTGTCCACAAATTTTGTTGTAGTGGATTGCAGACTCTAATTAACAACAAATAGCGTCATCAAAGTAAATACTGTGCGTGACCAATCTCCTGAAATGTTGGCCAAAATTCTGAAATTCGTTTTCGACTAGGAAGGATTACTTAAACGGGCTTGTTAAATTGATTATCACGCGGCGTAATCACGCGCCAGTATGTGGGCTTTTGCATATACTTCTTTTCGACGTAGAAGCCCATTCGGTAAAAAATAACTACATGCATTTTTCACGCGGATTTTCGATGGTCTTATATATTCCAATATATTTCACACAAAACCGTTACAAAAGTATGCTTTCATTTACTCGTTTGGTAGAAAATCACATTGTCTTCACAATTAATTCCTGCAGAAGTTGTATACTTAGGTTTTGAAAAGTTTTCCTAATTCTTAAATAATTTTGAGCAAAATCAGCCGTTAACAATAGGGTTTGGCAATCTCAGTCTACATGGTGCATGGGTAACAATCCGGAGAGAGCACCCAAATATCCGTTGCCTAGAAATAATACCTGTTATGCCTATATGAATAGGTTAGGGCCCTGAAACCCTGTGTTCAAACAAGGAGCATCGTAACTGCGAGGCGGGGTATCTTCTCCTTCAGTGACCATCCCAAGACGCAGAACTCATCGCAAACGTAGACGGGCGTGGCCTGTATGCCCGTTAAGGACAACGCCGAACAAACGTCTGACATGCCTTCATCCAGAAACGTTATTTTGACATCGAAAACTGCTGGAATCAGTGTTTTAGTGCGCATTTCAGTGTTGCATTACTGGGTCCACATCCCGCAGTGCGCTTGCTCCCAGTCTCTCAAAACAATCAAAAACTGAATTTTCCCGAAATCAGACTGTAGGTTGATTATGTCCACCGACAGTACTTATCACCTCATACCGTAGAGTAAAAGCCGAGTGAGACAGACTACGACAAGATGCAGACGATTGCAGGCTTCAGGAATTGCGATCAAAGCTACCAAACAAGGCAGACGACACTGATTTTGGCGTCAAACCAACCACTGCAGTCCGATAAAGGTGTGATGAGAGGAAAGAAAGTTCCTTCCGCGGGACATTCTAGGCACAACCTAAACCATTACCGGCACACGAAAACGCAAAGCACTTGCACATATTACATTTAAAGTGCGACTGAACAGACGAGCCAAGCTTTATTAGTACCTTGCTATTCACCTCGCAATAAATTCCTCGCATCTGAAGGTCCTCATTCTCTGGAATACAACATATCCTTGAGATCGATATCATTTGCAGAGCCCTATGAAACCCTATTCTACGATAGTGGCAGCCTGTTTCTTTGGGAGGTGTGAAGTTGATATACTTTCCTTTATTTGTTCCTCCTCCACTTCCTCAAAAATAACTTCCCACGACAGCATGAACATATTCAATGTGGGGGGTCTCAGCACTGATGCCCTTTCGCCAGCTCCGAATGAAACCGTTTTCGATAACGATGAATTACCTAACTGGGGTTGTAAAATTAATTATCAAGCCGAACGAACCTATAGTATGTTGAATGCGCCAGGCTCTCGGTTTTCGAATGTACATATTTTCGTCCCTCTTTAAAATAGCCACTCGGTAAAAAGATGATTACATAAGTAACATGCATTTCTTACATTGATTTTCGACGATCTTATAGATTCAGAAATATTTTATAAAAATATATGCACCATAACAAGGTATCTTTTAGTTTTTTTTTTTATAGAAAATCACATTGTCTTCACATCTCATATTCTAAGAAAGGTTATCTTTTGGTTTTAAAAATGTTGCTTATTATGAGATTTTGAGGATCGTGCGATGTCCACACATACAGCATGGCACATGTCCGTTTGCTATTGGTCTTCATTAAATATACAACACAGTCCGCATCGATTGCAAAATTTTCCGAACTCTATATGGTATCTCCGTAGAGACATAGAGGAATATACGATTTCCCCTATGCGGAAAACAAAATCTATGTAGAGTGAGATCGCCCAATCCTAGTGTTGACGGCTGATTTTGCTCAAAATTATTTAAAAATTAGGAAAACGTTTCAAAACCCAAGTATACAACTTCTGCAGGAATTAATTGTGAAGATAATGTGATTTTCTACCAAACGAGTAAAATGAAGCATACTTTTGTAACGGTTTTGTGTGAAATATATTGCAATATATAAGACCCTCGAAAATCCGCGTGAAAAATGCATGTAGTTATTTTTTACCGAATGGGGTTCTACGTCGAAAAGAAGTATATGCAAAAGCCACGTAGATGGGCTCTGCTCAGCAGCCACACCCCGGGCAACCGCCTCAACCGGCGGGCTAAACCAGGCGAGGGCGGTTACTGCCTGTGCGCGTTGTGCTACGTGCACAGGGTACTGCGGAGTCCGCTGGACGGTTGGTCGAATGGGACATCGCGTCGGCACCGTCGTGACGAGGCTCCGTCCGGTACGCCGCTGTCAGCCGGTTGATGAAACGTAGCATCGGCATCGTCTAGACGAGGCTCCGCCTGGCACGCCGTTGGTCAGCCGGTGGGATGGATCTTCGAATCGGCATCGCCGACACGCGCCCATCAGGTGCAACGTAGGGGACTGCGGGCTTACCACGACGTCGTAAGCCCTTGGCAAATTCGAGTCGTTCTTCCACTGCCAACATAATTCGTCACCCATAGTGGAGTTCGGCCGCGCCGGCACATCAATCAGCCCTGTTCAGGGACGGGCACTGCTTCTATTCGGAGGAGACCTGGAAATGCCGGCATAAAGATTGTTGGGGAACCACGTCGTCTGCAGACTGACCGTGGTCGCAGATGTAAAATCACGGTCGAAACAACAACAACAACAAAAACAATACTCGCCCTCCTCATTCTCTGCCTATTCTACCTCTTCCTTTGCCTATTCTTCAGCCAATTTTTCTCCTTCGTCACGTTCTTCTCCACCTCCTTCCCGTCGCCCCACTCGCTGTCAACAGACTGGCAAGGTGAGTCCGCTAACTCTCGCAGCCTGGAATGTCGTTCCCTTTTAGACAATCCGAGGAGCGACCGACCGGAACGGAGGACAGCGCTAGTGGCTAGGGACCTGGCGCGCTACAGATTGGACATCGTCGCACTCAGCGAGACCCGATTCTCCGAACAAGGCCAACTGGAGGAGGTGGGTGCCAGCTACACCTTACTCTGGACCGGTCGCCCCAGGGCAGAGCGACGTGACGCGGGTGTCGCCTACGTCATCCGGAACTACATCGTGGGACGACTGCCTCTTCTGCCACATGACATCAACGATCGGCTGATGAGCACATGTCTGCCTATCCGGGAAGGTAAATTAGTCATCATCATCATCATCATCATCATCATCATCATCATCATCATCATCATCATCATCATCATCATCATCATCATCATCATCATCATCATCATCATCATCATCATCGTCATCATCATCATCATCATCATCACCACCACCACCACCATCATCATCAGCGCCTACGCTCCGCCGATGACCAGCCCTGAAGCCGCAAAAGTCAAATTTTACGAGGACCTGCAGGCCCTCTTGGCGACTGTATCGAAGGCGAACATGTTGATTGTCCTTGGGACTCCAACGCTAACGTCGGCACAGGCCATGTAGCCTGGAGATGAGTGCTCGGTCCCCGTGGTCTCCGCGGCTCTAACGACAGTGGTCTGCTCTTTATCCGCACTGCGCAGAACACCGGCTCATCCGGCTTGATATCACAAAGAAATGCTACATCATTACTAGAAATAAAGCTGTGTCAGTCGAGTGATCCAATAAAGTTTTCTATTAGGTCGGTAGTTACGAGAACAGAATTAAGGTATCTTCAGAATGTACTGGCCCTCATTTAATAGGACAAACGAAGTCAACGGTGGAAGAATGCATGGTCATATTAGATAAAGGTGTATTTATTATCAACGAAAAGGCAAACAGTTCCACTGGCAATGATCAGACTTTGATTGCGATTACCTCTTGTTGAGGGCAAATCAGCTACGATCAAATGGAAAAATTAGTAATACATTGCAAAAACCAATATCTAGTCGTAATGCTGTTTAAACGTTAAGCTCCAGAGATTGTATTAACGCCAAAGGCAGCGCCTGAAACTTATTTATAGATTTCGCAAAATTACAGGTAGTCGCTGGATGATGAATTTGGATGATTGTGAATACACTTAGGAGTAGCCTTTCTGTGTTGTGAGAGAATAACAGATGTGAAACAGAAATTCCGAGAAAATAAGGAACATTCCTATCGGACGGAAAGTGCTTTCAGGATGATTTAACGCTCTAACGATTTTCGCTCGATTTCCCAGACCAGTTGTAATTCATGTCTTACGAGGTTTTGAGCAGGGTTATGTACATTTTTGTATGCAACCCAAACAGACCAGCGGCTGGAACTATCCAGATCCTGGGACAGGGCTGACAGTAAGGGTGTTCGTGGAGGGAGAAGTTAATGTTGCTGGGCTTTCATTGTACAGCGTCCGAAGGTTTACGACGAGGCCAATTGGCGTGCGAAATTTGCGTTATCAGCTGGAAGTGGGGGGGGGAGGGGGAGGCGTGTTGGAAGCGGTTGGTAGTTGGCGTCATGCTTCTGAGACGCTTGGGATTTGCAAGCCGCCGGTTTGCATCGTGGATCGCTGAGATCCAGTCCTCACTGCTACTCTCCAGTCCAGTCCGCCTGGTCGAGTTCCGCCCGAGTCTCCAGATTGATATGCAGTTGAATCCGTAGAGCTCTTTAGAGTGTTCTTGTGGCGTCCTGTTTGTCCCCCCTGTCGGCGAGCACCCGTAGCAAAATCACCCTACAAGAGTAGTTTGGGTAATCGCGGATCGTCCATCCTCACGAATTGGCCGCTCCATCACAATTGCAGTTGCCTCAGCATGGCGTGAGTGCTAGGGATTCCGATCCGTTCCAGGACTGCCATGTCGGGATGCTGTCCAGCCATCTTAGCCTCAATAATCTGCGGAGGCAACCGAGATGGAAATGTTTGAGCTTCCTGCCATGGCTGGAGTAAACGGTCCTGGTCGCCGCTCCGTATAGAAGTACCGTCAAGACGGCGGTTATATTCACCTGGAATTTGGCGTCCAGATAAATACTGTGGCGATTACACACACACAGGCTCGCGGCCGACCGAATGCCGGGCTAGTTTTGGAGACCCGATGGGTAGTCCCGGCGTTGGTGGCTGTGCTGCGCGTGAGCGTAGTTCGTAGGCAGGCGAAGGTGTTTGCAGCTCCCGGTTGGCTTTCGTTGACATTGACATTCGAGGAAAGTTGTATTCCGTGTCGGATGGCGATTGGTGCATGGCCACCACTTTGTACATGTTGATGACCAGCCCGAAGTTGACGCACCAGACGGCGAAAACGCTCATGCTCTACTACCTGTCTACTTCGGTTGTGGTATTGAGTGCGTAATCGTCGGTGAGGAGCAGGTCATGGCCTGCGTACGTAGATAGCCACCTTGGAGTATTCATGGGTCTGCTGTTAAGAAGATGCCCGTCAGCTCTGTCGACAATGCGCATTTTCTGACCAAATCACGGTTGGCATCCATCAGCATGCCGGAAAACATGAGGCTGAGGGGGATAGCTGCGAGTACGCAGTCCTTTTGAGCCCCCTTGGTCACCGCAGATGGCTCGGAGATCGCGCCGTCGTTCGCGACGTGCGCCATCATACCGACGTGGAGCTCACGTCCGACAGTTTGACAGTCGAGTCCGAAGGTTTCTAGCGTGTGCTCCACGAAAATGGGCAGCAGGTACTGTGACTTGTCCGTGAACTAGTTTATAGTGATAGTAGACTTGCGCGGCATCTGCGGTACTCTGTACCCCAATCCCAACCTGGACCCCGTGGCAAGACAGAGTCAAGAATACCGGAAGTGGGTTGGGGACGCAGATGGCTGGCCCGGCAAGACCCACACCTAGGCGTGTCATCACACTCCCTGGTCCACAAGAGACTCTTGAACTGGATTTTTCATCAACAATAACACTCCTGCCGGATCGCAAGCGCATATACCGGCAGGGAACCAGGTGTCAGGGACCTGCCAACGCATACCAGGCTGCGAGGACCACGGGCTGCAGATGCTGGCATAGCACACTCTGAGAACCTAAGGACTGGTTTGGATAGCCAGTGCTGCGACTGTCCTGACCATATGGAACACCACAACATTATTTTAGTATGCCGTCAACGGGCGGTATTTGTTACGGAAGGACGACCCTGAATTTACGTGCTGGAGAAGTCCGGTGAATGCTTGCCTCCTCTAATTAAAATCCGCCTAATTCGTCAGAAATAAGGGACTCCGTCCTACATGCGGCACTAGGAAGTTTCAATCATCGTCTTGATTTTCGCCGATGATTCATACAATCCGTCGTCATTGCTAACAATTTATCGCGTTCCATAAAAGCCATCAGTATATTCCCAACACGGCAGAGCGGAACTAGTGGTGGTTGGCAGACCGGCGGACATTAGCCTCTCCGTTGACTGTTCGCTTAGTAGGTCATGAGGTGCTAGTGCGATATTATATCTACCCCACTGTAGCTGTGCTAGCCTACGGAACGTGCGTTATTCACGTGAGAATTCGGTTTCTACAACTGAATTTGCGGAGAGCACTGCGTCAATACGTTTGTTTGACCGCGTCGGAGGTGCTCACTAGCACTGGGAAATCAACGTTGAGACAAAACGAGCCAGGTTGGTCCTGTGGCAGACGCGATTGATTCTTTGAGAATCCACAGTGTTTCAATATCGCATTATAACTGCCTCAAGTTGCTCTAGCTGTTGTTAGTGTTTGGCCGGACTGTAACTACTGGGCTGAATGTCAGTCAGAAGCCTCGATTACTTAGCGTCTGCAAACTGAGACTATGTGATGCTGGAGGCAGCGAGCGTTACCGCAGCTAGAACATGAGCGCAATTCAGATGCCTTAGTACGCAGGACGTGGGAGATTAGAAGTATCGGTCTCTTATGGCAGTGTCTGTAAAAAGATATTTTCAAGGAAAAATAACTTAATACGATAACAAATAATTAGGTTGAGGACGCGAAGCAATGCTTGAAGGAGTTCTACTGACATCGGCCGGGTTGCGCATTCGGTCACATGTCCCGTTTTGGCTAAAGGACGTCAGAACGCCACCACATGAACAATGGTGGTGACTTCGGCTTTTGGGCCGAATGTCCTTGTGCATCGTGAGTACACCAGTCAGGGGACACCGGCGAAAGAACGTAAAGCGGCGGGCTGAACAGTTGTCGCATCTTATCTTTCAAGACGACGAAGGTTGGCCTCTATTCCTTTTATTGTTAAAATATTGGATGCCGTTGAGGGCTGGCATTCGGGTGCTTTAAAAGAGAACAACAGTAGTCACAAACCCGCTTAATGCACAGTCAGTAAATGTGACATATAACTGCCAAGCATCCATGGAGAGTCGTTGAGTTGATAAGTGGAAAGTAGTTTACTGTGCGTAGAAAAAGGACGCATAGAGAGGCATTTGTCACTATGGGCAATCATAATGCGAGGAAATTCGTAAAACGAATTAGAGCCCTAAAATATGCCTGAAAAATCTTCGACACTTTTAAAAAGCCTACATCGCATCGTCCAATAGCCGTTACCAACTACGCGTTCTCCCAGCCAACTGCTGCAATACTGGGGATAGGGGCCTACCTATCACTAAAGTTTGCGAGGTGACTACACAAATTCGAGGTTGCGGTTTTCCCTTGATCAGCCCCTGTGGTAAAAAAAATAAGTAACCTGAAACGCTATAGAATAGTTTGATTCAGGCTGGAAAAGTAGACGGGAAACTTCTAAATGTCCTTGTACAACGGATGGTTGATGATTAATTTCATACAATGCTTTATTAAGATAAGAAGTAGACCGCTACTATAACAACAGCTCACGTCTTGACCGTAGCAAAAAACGACGTTAACCGCGTCCCGCAGAGAGTGGAAACGGCTTCCTTCTAGCTCTTATGACTTTTCTCACCGATGAGCGAACTGGTCGGACAAGGCGGCCTATCACCAACCCTAACCTCGCCCGTGGAGTTTTCGACAGGGTCACCTGCAATACGAGTTCGTCCATATTCCTGAGCCCAAACAACGGACCATCGTAGGCGTCCGTGCATTTCGTTCTGCCCTTCGGTGTTTGGTAGCGACAACGACAAGGCACAACCGGCCACAACGAGACTACGTAGACCACGAAATCAGCGATAACATGACCAGCCGATCAGAAGTGGTCCCGGACAGGCCAGTTGATCACGTCATTTCCCGAGGCTAACAGATACATAAGCCCTTTTGCATTCTTCATAAAGTGCCTCGGTATGGTTTGTAGGCAGGTCCATTCAGCATGAACGCGCGGCTATCTGTCTGTACAGCGAATAGTTCTCACTGCACGTATGTTCATTTTCGGCCCCGATTGTGATGGCATTGGAGAGCTCCCTACTCCGACGGGCGAATATATAACAAAATACTACTATTCTTATAAGTTGGACAGATTTTCCATCGGACGCCAACATCTCTTAATTAAAGCTAAATGAAGAAGAATCTGGTACCTGTCACCCACAAACAAATTTGCCGAGAATTGGTTTGCAGCATTTTGCATTCAATCTCGAATTTAAATATTGCTAGAAAAAAACGTGGATCTTTATGA